TTAGATGAATTCTATAATCTCCTATCAACCTATTACTGCATTTCTCCAAAATAAATAATTTATTGTGTCTTTGTTTTTGTAGTTTGAATATATTATCTGGTTTACTGCACAAATACACTTGCTTATTTCAGTATTATGTTCTTATATTTATAGCATGAAAAGTTACCTGGTTTATTTTCCTCAAATAAGTTTGTCTTTAGGTTAGATATAGTTATAATTTGCAAGTCTAATTAAAATGTTGTGGAAGTCATAATTATTATTATTGTAGATCGTAGACATTAATCATGTAGTAATAAATGATTTAAGCACTAATAATTTAACAGTGGATATGGCTTAAATAGAATGGATTGGCGAAATAGGATTCATGTAGCCAACCCCATATAGTTGGGATAAGGCATGGATGATTATGGTGAGGCATGAATCATGTATATCCTGCAAGTAATGCTATTCTCCTCACAATTGCACTATGTTTTGAAACACTCAATATGAAAGAAGGAAGGTCATACTGCCATGTAAGGATTTTGTTGGATTTCTCATATAAAGATAATTGGTAGGAACATGAAGATAAGTGAAAGACTAGGAGAAATGTTGATGGGTCCTTCCTAAAGTTGGAGGAAAGGAACCATTAGCAGTACAAACTTTCTCATGGTTGGAAAAATCACTGTAAGACAAAAGTAGGGCTGATTTAACTATCGTATAATGGACTATGTTACCTTGATATGGCCAGAAATATGGCTGGATATGGTATCAGATAAGAAATTTGCACTGAAAATTGAATTATCTGACACAATACAGACCCTTGTACAGGTATCTGGGTATCATTTATTATGGGTCTAACCTCTGGCATTTTTTGTGCGATGTGTTCCAATCTCACACTTGAAAACACGTTCTTATCATGTCAGCCCAAAGTTTTATCATTGCACCAAGCAATTGCTTCTTACTTCATTGATATTTATAATTCATGTCATTCTATTTTATTAGCTTTGCTCTATATACTTTAATGACATTAACATGAAGTTTTGTTATGTCACTAGAAGCCTTTCTTTTATTGGTAATTCATGTTTTTGGCTTGATTTAGCTTGCTAAATGATGTAATGAGTATAATTTTTCCTTGTTTGCTTAACAAATTCTTCCATTTCATTATCACTTGTTCTTTCAGGTCGCTCTTTATCAAATAGCGTCATAAATTTAGGTATCAAGGACCAATGTGCAGATGCTTTGCGCCAGCTTGGTTTTGAGTTTGAGGTCTTAGCTGAGCAGGTTAGAAGTTTTTTATTAAATTTTTAGTATCTTTCTAACATGCTAATTTTTTAAAATTGTGTAAATAATTTCCTTATTTGTTTCTTCTCATCTCTGGATGTCCAACCATATTTATCTTTTATGCCTTAAGTTTTTTATTATGATCTTCAAGGAAGGGGATGCTGCACTTGGTAATGGTGGCCTAGCTCGTCTATCAGCATGCCAAATGGATTCTTTAGCCACACTGGATTTTCCTGCTTGGGGGTATGTTCTACACAAAATCTTTTCCACTATACAGTTATATTCAAGGCAACTTCAAAATATTCATTACTATTTAAATTATATCTCCATGTCTGAGTGTTTTTCTTTTTCTTTTGGTTTGAAACAAACTTCTTTGGTATTAAACAATAAAAATTTAATGAAACCCTTTTCTTCATCTTTTCTTAGAAGTTGATGCAAGAAGTGGCATTAGAAATTGCTATATTAAGATGTTCAAGCAAATCTCCATTGCACAGTAAAAAGAAATGAAGTGGGCATGGTGAGTGTCTAACATATCTGACAGTGAGGGGATTGTAGCCCTTCTGGAAGCTAACTATAACCCTGAATAGTATGCTGGAGACCTTGTTTTTATTAGGAAGTTTCAAATTTTCTTTGAGCGGTCTTATATACTTCCCAATATAAAATTTTCTACCTTATATTGAGTTGGGATTATTAGCCAAACTGGAATCTGCAGTAACTATGTGTGTCTATGCACATCCTAAGAGGTATAAGCTCAGATTTATATATTTTTGTAGTGGGATTTCCGAGGAAAACATTATGATTCATGTTAGAAGAAAGAGAATGGGATAGGAACCCCTAGTTATGACAAAAGATGTGATTCTAAATAATACGCTTTTTTGTAGCAACTCTACAAATAGATAATGGATTGCCTCCTTGATGAGTGGAAAATACTTTTTCAATTCAAATTTCTCAAATATTTCATGTTTGGCTTTAACTTGAATTTGACTGCCAATTGTTTCTGTTCTTCACCATATTTCCTCACTTTTTAAAATGGAAACAGCTTATTGTTAAGAAGATACTGACTCTGGTAGGATTGCATATTCATTTTTGCAGTTATGGTTTAAGGTATCAGTATGGATTGTTCCGTCAGGTAATATTGGATGGGCTTCAACATGAGCAACCTGATTATTGGTTGAACTTCGGAAACCCTTGGGAAATAGAGCGTGTTCATGTCTCATATGCAGTGAAGGTGTGCAAGTTAATACCTTGAACCGATTTTTCTCAGTGAACCGTTTTCTTAAGTTGTCTTGCTTTCACATTAATACTTTCATAACTTTGTTCGGTCCTTTTTTTTGGTAGAAAAAACCTTCTTCTATGATACTTATTCTAAGTCTTTTTGTGTGAGCTAGTTCTATGGAACTGTTGAGGAGGAGACTTTGAATGGAGAAAAATATAAAGTTTGGGTCCCTGGTGAAATGGTAAGATTGTCTAATATTTTGTGCAGGAATGGTTGTTCTGGAAGTAAATATTTTCCATATATTCAAGTGATCAAATAAAATAGCCCAATTATGCCAAATGGCTTGCACTTGTTACAGCATACTGATTACTCCCATTTTAGGTTGAGGCAGTTGCTTATGACAACCCAATACCTGGTTATGGAACGAGGAATACAATCAATCTTCGTCTGTGGGCGGCTAAGCCAAGTGGCCAGTATGATATGGTAATGTTGAAGTTGGTTTCGTTTTATTCATGTCTTGCATTTTCTTTTTCTTATACATAACTCATAGTGTTAATTTGTGAAATAAAGTGTCAAGGCCTTATTTATAGCTACAAAGCAAATCTTGCCAGAAAAAATTCTTTGAAATCAGATTTGCACATGTGAAATAAGAAAGTAAAATGAAAAGGGGAAGGAGCAATCTGGAGATTAAAAAATGAATTCGAGCGCTTTAAGCAGGTTTCTAAAGATATGGAAATTCACATAAGATGGGTTAGGAGATCAGTTAACAACTTAGCTGGTAGTCTAGCTAAGCAAGGTGTCCAAAGGCAAGCTATTTTCTGGGCTATATTATAGATGGTGGATCCTTTGGGTCCTTTGGGGCTTGTCTGTAACTAAAGAATTTCTTTGTTGGGTTGAGCTTGGGTCTGTATTGTAATTTGTGGGATTTATGTGTACTCTCTGTCTACCCACAACTTCTTATTGTACACATTTTGTTAATTTAATTTAATGAATCTTTTTAGTGTTGCCGATTGTTAAGTTGTTGGGCTGGGACGCCCCTATCATCTTATGAAACATTCAGACAAGGGTTCATAGGCAGGGTCAGTCCCAACAAGAAGGCAAACACACGTTGCTGAGAAACCAGCTTCCTATAGGCCTTAGCATCGTCATCATGTTTTCACTCTATAGCCTGATAACAATCCAATTCTTTCCACACGGAAGTAAGGGCTGAATATTAGGAAGACAAACTACGATTTCCCTGTTTACAGGTTGAGGATTCAGCTTGCAACTGGTAAACCTTGGCATAATGCCTTTGCTCAGAATAAGTAGTTTTGGCTTGTTCCCAAATCTCACTAGCGGTGTCTGCCCACATAAAGTTCTTCTTCACATCAGGTTCCCTGGCTGCAAGGAGCCAAGACATCACCATACTGTTTTCTTGGTCCCAMCTATCATGTTCAGCTGTCTCACTCTTGGGTTCTTTCACCCTTCCATTTATGTAACCAGCTTTTCCCCTTGCCATTACATAAAGTTTTACACTTTTAACCCACTCCAGGTAGTTTAGACCATTTAAAGGGGTAATGGGCATGGGAAACATCATGTTTTCACTTCCCATACCAGCTGTGCTGCGGGTCGGTGTAACCCCCGATGAAGTTGAATCATAGTTTGCCATAGAGTACTGCTGAATCAGACCAAATCCCACACAACTACACAACAGTCACAATCAGAATACCAACCCTCAAGGAATTTACTTCTGGAATGTGGAAAAAAAAACTACTGAAATCAACTCAGTGATGGTTCGGTCATTAAAACAGCCCAGTAATCAGTCCAACACCAGCCGTTAGAATAGTATACTAGCAGTCCGACTACAACCCATGCAATCTAACAATCCAACATCCAAACGAAGGTATAACCAAGAAACAAGGCCTTCACACCATCGGCCATAAAAAAAAACAAGAACACATACCCTGTCCAGCACCTGTACGAAGGCGCCAACCAAAAACTAACTTCACAGCATCGAACAGATAAGAAAGGGAGTCTTTTTCTGCATCGCCCTTCTTCTACGAGGGTCTCCTTGATATTACGACCAAGGAAGAACCCAAAGGAAGAGCCGCAAGTAGTCTGTTAGGGTTTCTCTGTCTTCCACGTCCAAGAAATCAAAGAAGAAAAGAGAACGAAGCAGGTTCAAATGGGAGAAACCGATTTTTTTATAGCCCAGAACCTTGCTCTGATACCATGTAATCATTCATGGAGAGAGAGAGACGAGAGAGAGAAAGGGAAGAAGAGGACTGAGAGACAAAAAAACCAACTACTTCTGGTTGCCGCCAGTTTAGTTATTTATATTAACTTAATATAAAAGGAATGGGAGATTACAAGTATGCCCCTGGTGGCACTCCCTAGAAACAAACTAATAAGAAAGAAAGAAACTAACCGACTGGCTGCATCTTAATCTGACAACCCACTAACAGCAACTATAAAATAACAATTAAATAATCCTCACAGCAGTCAATATATATTTAAATTTATACAAAACTGAATTAAATATTGTACAATTGTATTGTATTTGTATTGGTTTTACGTTTTTAGTTTTTATCATAAATAATCATTTTTTTTTTCAAAGTTCAAACATAACACAAATAAAATATATCAACATTTAACATATAATTTTGAAAAACCCACCAACTCGGGTTGGGTCGGGCCATTTTGACATTTAATGTGAACACCCCTAAACAAAAAGCTCTAAAAGAATAAATCTATATTAATTAATTTATTGGGACACATTCTCCCTCCTTTAACCACTTGGAGTGGGGGGACACATCACCCTAGGGGAGAGAGTTACTTTCTCTCCTCTAACCACTTTAAGTGGGGGGAGGGGGGGGGACACATGTCACCCTAGGAAGAAGGATTTATTTTCTCTCCTTTAACCACTTGAAGTGGGGGGTCACATGTAATCCTAGGAAGAAGGATTTATTTTCCCTCCTTTAATCACTTGAAGTGGGAGGACACATGTCACCCTAGGGGAGAGAGTTATTTTCCCTCCTTTAACCACTTTAAGTGGGGGGACACATGTCATCCTAGGGAAGAGAGTTTTCTTCTCCCTCCTTAACCCACTTTAAGTGGGGGGACACTTGCCACCTTAGGAAGGAAGAGTTTTCTTTTCCCTCCTTAACCCATTTTAAGTGGGGAAGTGGGGTGACACTTGGGCACTCTAAGAAGAGAGGAGTGAGGAGTTACTTAACCACCTTCCTCCTCTATGTAAACCCCTCTCCTACAAGGAGAAGGGGCTAATGCCTTTTTGTTGGCTAATACTAATTTATCTGCAGGATTTCTAGCACTAAGAAACAAGTGGGAAGAGAAAAGAGAAGAAGATTGGTGTGGAGAGCATAAAAAAAAGGAAGAAGAAGGTAGGGAATCTTGTTTTCTTCCTACACCCCTTCAATATGATACTCCTTGTGCTTCCACATGAGATGGAAGACCATATTCTATCTATTCCTCTCACTCCTTTCTTTCTTCCTTGTTTCATATTGAAATGCATGTAAGGAGATAACCATCTATAACCTTGTCTATGAAACTTGGATAATAATGGTTCCTTACTTCATTTTGACCCTGGAAATCATTACTTTATGTGAGGGAGACAACCATCTACAACCATCTTCATGTAACTTGGCTGATTATGGTTCCTCACAGCATGATAATGCACATAACCATCTACTTCATTTTGACCCTGAAAATCATTACTTTATGTGAG